CAGGCGGGGGCACGGCCCGCCCCCCGCTCTGTTTGGGGACACTCCCCCCGGCTCTCCTTGTCCACAGACCCCGCTGGTGGTCCTGGGGACTGCAGCCAGCTCCCGGCAGCTGCTCCCGGTACAGGGGGTGCAGCATCAGCGGCAGGGAGGGGAGAGCCCTTGGGGTTCCCTGGGGACAGCCCTGAATGTCCCCCCCCCCGTGGACACCCCGCCTCAGAGCCGGATGCTGGGCAGTGAATGACCCTGGGGTCTATAACGAACCCCCCCAGGGTTGGGGGCACAGGGTGCGGGGCGCTGCCGGGAGAGGGGGGCGAGGGCACCCAGCACAAACCCAGGCTACGGAGCCTCCGGTTGATATTAAATTGTCTTTATTACACAGATACAGAGTTAAGAACAGACATAACCTGAATCATAAAGTTTACATCTTTCACAGGTCAAACATACAGTACACTTAGAGAAAGCGGGAAACAGCAAGGGGGGAGACAGCATGCCGAAGGAAAGTCCTACCACGTCATCTCTCTGGGCTGGCCCCAAAACCCACGCTCTGGTTTCCAGCCCCCCAGGGACCCCGGCGTCCCCGTCCCCAGGGCTGGCAGGGTAACGTGGGCAGGGCTTAGCCCCGCATGGGACCAGGGAACCGGTGCTGCCCGCAGAGCCACGAGCGAGGGGGGACGGTGGCACGACGCCTCCCTCCCGGGGACGGGGCGTTCGGTGGCATCGGAGGAGCCCCCGGGGTTGCCATCACAGCGGGGACACCCCGGCACAGTGCCTGGGACCTGGGAACAAGGTGGCATCTTGTCTCCAACCTCAAACCCACCGGAATGCAGGGGGGCACCCCGAGGAGAAGGGGGGACCCCGGCAGGCCCCAGAGGGTGAGGAGGGGCTGCGGGGTTGTGGGGGTCTCTGGCAGTGATGAAGCAAAGCCCAGGCAGGCTCCGGGGTGCCAGGCCTCGCTGGGATGCGGCACTTTGGTTTCAGCTGGGATTTCGGGTTGGGAATGCAAGTAAGGAGCTGGAGAGACCCTCGCCCACTGGGGATGGGGCCCCGGTGCCACGCTTGGCGCCGGAGGAGAACCACGTCTCTCCTGCCACCTCCTCCAGCCTGGTGCCACAGCCAGCACCCAGCACCCAGTGCCCCGGACTCTGCCTCCCCGCAGGGAGCGGGACCTCGGGCAGGCTGCCCCCATGCCGCCAACACCGTCCCCCAGCCGCGACGGTGGGGAGGAAACCCAAGAAGGGGAGCTGTGGGCAGCCACGGGGACCTGAGCTGGCAGAGGACTGTGCCCGGCCACCCCGGCACCCCGTGTCCCCGAGCTGCCCCACAGCCACCGGGGTGTCCCTACTCCCCGGCCAGGCGGCGCCGGCACCACATCTGCCATCTCCCCGATGCCACAAAGCCACCAAAGGACCTGGCTCAGGCACGGCACAGGGCACGCGTCCCCTGGCCCCCTGCATGCCCCAAAACCATTTTGGAGCAAAACCCCGCGGAAGCGCCCGCCGCTCCGGCCAGCGCCTCCCCGGCCGCCACGGCCCCCTCCGTGCCCACATCGCTCCAGCCCCACGGCCGCACCGCCACTGTCATCCTCCCCGCGTCACTAATTTTTGGGAAATATTACACTTTAAAGCTGTCGTTCTGGTTTGGACGTCTGCTAGCATCGTGCCGCCCGTCCCCTCCCTCCCTCGGCTTTTGGTTTCAATGCAAGGTTCTGTAGGGTATTTTTATTATTGTTTAAAAAAAAAAAGAAGAAAATAATAATTAAAAAAAAAGCAAAACAGAAGGGGGTGGAAACGAGAGCAGACTCTGTGGAAATGCTCTCGTCTGCGGTTTCCCGGTGAGGCGGAGGTAGAGAGGCAGAGCCCCGGTGCGGAGCAGGGCCGGGGGCACGTGGGGACACGCGGGGACACGCGCGGCGGGGAGGGCAGGGACGGGATGGACACCCGGGAGAGCAGCCCCGCAGCAGGTGCATCTGCAATACTCTTATATATTACCTCTTCTCAGGAAACGTAAGAAAAATAGACAATATTACATATGTCACACCATAAATAAAGTGAACAGTCACTCCAGGGGCACCCGGCAAAACTCCCAGCCTTGGGGTGCACAGAAACCCCCCGGGAGGTTGCACTGAGGTCTTGGGGTGCACAGAAAGCCCCCGGGGGGATGCACCGAGGCCTTGGGGTGCACAGAACCCCACCCAGAGGGATGCACCAAGGTCTCGGTGTGCACAAGAACCCCCCCAAGGGGATGCACCAACTTCTGGGGGTGCACAGAAACCCCCCAGGGGGGATGCACCGAGGCCTCAGGGTGCACAAAGCTGCAGCAAGGCTTGGTGCTGGTGGCACGGGGCCGCTAATGTCGCCTTGGGGCGCTCCATGCACCAAGCTCTGCTGCGGCGTGGCACGGCACGGCACGGCACGGCCGTTGCAGGAGGCAGCTGCAAAGGCAGCACCAGCAGCCGGGCCCCCGGGGTGACTGGCAACACAACCGACCTGGCCCCAAGCCCTTCCCTCCTCTTCCTCCCCTACAGAAAACACACAGGATGGTTTTTGCAAATGCGGAAAAACTACAGCTCCTATCGAGCACACGACTTCTGTTCGCCTCCGGCCAGCCTCGCTCCCCCACGCCACAGCCTCCAGCGGGTTCTCATCATCTTTTATTTGGCAAATGTCTCTTATTATTATCACTATCATTATTATTATTATTTTTTGGACCTCTGCAAAACACTATTTACATTCACATTAGCGTACAGCACTCCTGCCCCGCGTGGGGCTTCCCTCCTCGGAGCCGGGGGACTTTCCGTATTGCACTCCCGTCCTCTGCGCTTTGTACAATGATGCGAGAAATACAAAATAATCGACATCGTCCTTGGCGGCCTCCTCGGCCAGGAAGGAGGTGGCGCTCGCTTTCCTTTCCTTTCCTTTTTCCTCTTCAAAAGCCTTGCAAAATAAATCCGGCAGCGAGGGGCTGGGGGGGTCCGGCCGCAGGCGGCCCCCGACGGCTTCGGGAAGGGAGAAAACCAAAATCTGTCTTTTTAATCTCTTTTTTTTAATTCTCTTTTTCCAGGGCGGTGGCGGGCAGAGGTAGAGATGTGCCGGCTCCGGCTGCACCCACCCGGGCGGTTCTCAGCCACCATCTCCCCCTCCCATGCCAGGGGGCTTGCTTTTTAATAAAAAAAACCCTTTTGTTTTTTGCTTTATTTTAATAGAAACTCTTTAAAGCCCCAGGGGCGCATCCGTCCATCCTTGCGGGGAAGGGAAGGAAGCGACAACAGAACGAAACGAACTTTGGCAGTGGAGAGACGTTTGGATCTTCCTTGGTTTTGGATTTCCTTTGGAGCAGAGGTGAGTCTGGTCTGTTCTTGGCTAGCTAGCAAGGTAGTTACAGGTGAGCGTCCGTCACGCGGCTTGACTTGGCGTCGTCTGGTTTTTGGATTTTTCTTTTTTTTTTTCTTTTTTTTTTTTCTTTTTTACAATTTCTTACTTAAAGCCAAAGAGTCCGACGTTTTCTTTTTTATTTTATTTTTTTTTTACAAAAAACAAAAAAAAAGGAAGAGAGAGACAAAGAAAAGAAGTTTCTTTCCTCCTGCGAGCGAGCCCCTCGGCAGCGCCAATGCGGGCCGGGGCCGGGCCGGCCTCTCCCCACGTCGCTGCGTGGTGAGGCTGCAGCCAAATCCCTCATCCAGAAAGAAAAAAGGAAAAAAAAAAACAAAAAAACCCAACAACAAAAAACCCCACCGAACCACAATCCCCCAACCGATAGAAAACCAACCGAAAAAAGCCAAAACAAAGACCGAAGAGAGAACAGAGAAGATCGGTATTTGCCTTAACTCCACTTAAAGCCCAGTTTGAGGATCCGTGAGGATTATTTGTGAGAGCTAGAGAGGTCGTTTCGGAGGTCACACAAGTCAGGTAGCTGAGGAAATTGCATCGAGTGCAGTCCGTGTCTTTTGGAGAGCGGTGGTAGCAGCAGCGGCGGCGGCGGTGGCGGCAGCGGCAGCAGTCCGAGCGCGGCTCAGCGGGACGCG